CTTGCTTTGCGTTAACTCAGATATGCCCCCTCCTAATAATTCCTCGCCTCAGCTTGTCGAGTGGAGTGAACAAATTTCTCCCAGAGCCGTTTCTCTTCATGGATAGAAGACAGAGAAGCACAGGCTCACCACCTTAGCTAATCGCTTGAATCGCATGGGCAGTGCACACTTAAGTAGACAAGCGGCCAATTGTATTTCAAAACTACGCGGTACGGCCGGGGCAAGCCCACAAACCTGTCCTCGTAACGCTTAGCGCCACCATAATAATAAATCGCTTAAACCGAAGCTGAGAAGCCATGTGAATATTCTCTCTCATCCCAACTGTGGATGCCCTTGTATCTGTATACAAAGTCGACTGTCGCGCCCTCCCCCAATTATGTTTACACCTGTACATACTCATAGACAATCATTTAAGTGTCTAGAAGGAATATGGACGCATACACGTACGAATAAATATAATTTTGAAGTACTTTTTTATGTCTTTTTATAAAACAGGGCAAGAAATACTATGGTTTGTCTTAGATTGTGCCAATCCCATTTTCTCGCCCTAATAGTCAAGGGAATGCAAGTACCCGGGCCGCTGCAGAACTAGTGGGCATGTTGACCGGTAGTGCCGAGCGGAAAGAGGGATCGTGCTTGGCCAATGGTCGTTCCGCGATTTCATGTTGCCTTGCACCCCAAATTCAGATAGGCTTACGTTACGGATAGACCGCACATGACACTCGGAAAATCTCATAGGAATTAAATTTTACAATAAACACCAGCTGACTGGTGATGATCGAACCGAGGTACATACTGCCGGAACTTGATTAAGAATACACCCAGGCTCAAAAAGTTGGGAAAAACGATCCAAGAATGAACGACAAGCAATCTAAAACGGAGAACACCCCGAGGGAGACAGAAGTGTATCAATCCTGCCTTCATCAAATTGTAATAGCGTTCACGGAATAGGAGTGCTAGGGAGCGTAATGTCTTTTAACTTTACGTTAAGCATTAACGCATAATTTGCAGACGAATCCAGGAACGCCCCCGTAGGTCTGAACACGGCATATAGGCCGCGCCCAGGAACTAGCCGATCCCGACTTTGATTATCCAAGCCACCGTAAACGCATGGAATGAACAATGGAAGTGGCCGGATCTTGGGGAGAGCATGATGCCTAGGCGGCTGAGCGTAGGAAATGGGGCGTTATTCAGACATTCAATCTAATAACACACGATTGGCGATTGACGAAGCCAAGGAAACCGGAGCCGACAAAAAGAGGTCGAGGGTATGATCCGATGTTAAAATTATAATTTAGAAAATTAGCCAGATGAAGTGAAAACGGTCGGCCGGGACTGGAACTATGGAAAGGTTGAGTCGGCAGTAAACGGATGCCAAACACTAAGACGTCCATCATAAGTGGAGCCGGGCTCGAACCAAGCAATTCTGAGGATAAAACATGACGAATACGAGCAGCCATTTATCACACTAAGAGATGAACAGATCGCCCGCGACTGCACGACCAGGGG